CTTTTGCCTTAGTTTGACATCCATTGGCTAAAGTAACAGTGGGAAGAGACTGTGAATATACAATATTCGACAAAAGTGATATATTACCAGAGATGTGATCAGAAGCGCCTGAGTCCATGACCCATGGTCCAAAAGTACTAGACCGGGAAACACAAGCAAAAGAATTACCAGCAACAGAAGTATCAGTCTGAGCAACCGAGGCTACTTGTGGAGATGTCTTCTTACTTGCACGATACTGAATGAGCTCATTATATTCTTCTTTAGATAAAGAAAATCCCTGATTACCTGTAGTCTCGGTCTGAGCAATGTAAGCATTTTTGGGTGAACGACCATGTAAGAAATAGCACATTTCACGAGTGTGTCCAAGTTTGTGACAATAAGAACACTTGGGTCTAGATCTTCCAAAACGACCTCCTCCTCGTCTATTCTCCATAGTTTGAGACGCCCGAACATCCACTATCTGGGATGCGAGAACAGAGGAATCAAGTATTTGTGATGAGATCACTGGGTGACTTGGTGCTGCAGCAAGGTGGAGTAATCGAGAGAATAATTCATCAACTGTAGGGGCAGTCAGACTAGCCAAAATCTGGTCGCATACTGAATCAAGATCATTAGGAAGTCCAGCGAGGGTAAGAATTAGAAACATCTTTTGTCGCTGCTCTTGTTGTTTTTCAACACTAGCAGAAGCTGGCATCAACTTCTCAAATTCCTCCATGACTGCCTGTACTTGACCCAAGTAAGTAGACATATCTAATTCCTGCTTCTTTAAGTTTGTCATCCGCGATATCATATCATAGAAGCGAGATATGTCATTAGTGTATAAGGCACGAGCCTTTGCCCAAACTAAATAACATGTCTGGAATGGACGAAACAAGGGCATCAACTTGGAATCAATAGATCGCCACAAGATGCTACATAACTGAGCATCGATCTTTGCCCAAAGTGCTATCGCCTTTTCATCTCCTTCGCTAGACTGTTTGATTAGATGACCTTGAACACCTTGACCTTTACACCACAATTCGACAAACGAAGCCCAAGCTAAGTAGTTTGAACTTCTCATTAAAGGTTCCGAGGTAATCATAACACTAGAGCTTCCATAACTCATGTTTCTAGACCCAAAAACATCAAATCTCAAAGACATCATTGCAAATTATTACCAAATAAGAGAGAATCAACTGTAATCCACTGAAACAGAGTAAGGAAATAATGTAGTCGTCGGAATCTCACTATAGCTGCCGGAAAAAAAACATTATTCACGCCGGAAAAATATAAAAGTGGTCGGAATTTGGTGTAACCTGAAGGGGTAGGCTCGGAATTCCCTTGCGAACAATCTGTCCCAAGGAAATTTTTCCAAAAAGTGACCGGAAAGGGCCCCACGCGCCGGCGCGTGACGTCAGAACTTCGCCGGAAAATTTTCTTCATGCGGCGCGTGGGAGCGCGTGGAGGGTCTTCTGACGGAGATATTTTTATGGGTTGGTCGCCGGAGGCTGATCTACTTCGTGGTGGTGTTGGTTTTTGCACAACACTGAAGAAAAATGACTTTTTTTTTTTACTAAGGCAAACCTGTGTTTGCCGAAAAAAAGACTTCTGGTTGACTGATTTCTCTTCCCGGAGTCGCTGGAATTTATGCACAACGATAAATCTCTCAGGATTGCTCTGATACCATGTGAGAAAGCACGGGAGGAAATATATTATTGATATTAGATACTCAATACAATACAAGAGGTCCTTATTTATAACTATACTTTATAAGGACATATTACTCTTATTCCGATGTGCAAACTAACGGAAACAATAGCAAAGCAACTACCTGTTGAAAAAGTGACTGGGAGACAAGATGCCGAAAGGAGAACCCATGCCCAGAAGAAGATCACCTCTCCTACTCCAAGTAGACACTTTTAATGTAGGCAAGTCCTGAAAGGAAATACCTATGCAGTCATTATCATCAAAAACCTACTAAATGGAGCTTTCAAAAATTACCAGCAAAAAAGCAAGCCCATTCAGCAAAATGCAAAATGCAATGTCATGCTTCATTTCACAAGTTTGATGCCACTTAGTGCAGTAAAAGCCTGAAACCTCATATGGATTTGAAGAAACTCTGAGAAGAGCAATTCTTGTAGTTGATGTTCCTATCACACTTGGCAGGCTGGACTGCGCCTCCATCATTGGAGTTTGACTTGGGAAAGAAATTTGCTCAACCTGAAATTATAAGTTGACAGTTCCTGTTAAAAAAATAGTCAATCTACAAAATCAATCTCCGTGGTCCTTTGAGACTATCATCTCATAGACCTTTGGCTATGAAGACTAGAATACTTTGTGCAAACATTGCTTGGGCCATCTTGAACATAGTGCTAGGGACAATTGGAGATGCCATCGTCGAAGAACACCACGGTAAGAGTTCCTTATGTCATGCCATTTTGCACTTGACAGCGTGAGACTCAAATGTGCTCCTTTCCAATAACACTGCCGAATGCTTATACAATTACAAATATGTAACCGGAGTAGCTTACTGAGTTGGAGTTCATAATATGAATTATTTTAAGAAATGCCTCCAAGTTTTAGGGGTGGTAGACTACCTTGTATTCAGACGCGGGGAGGTGATATCCAATCATTAATCTTTGAATTGGAATTAGGTGGTGAGACATTCTATGATGATAAAGAGGCAACTATTTTGGCATGAGTAGAGACATGAAACAATATGATGTCACTCTATTGTAAATATAGGGAGCATGAAATAAGGAACTCATTACATGAATTTCCTTTATTCTCCTATGAAAAGAGGTTATAGAACATATAAAAGGTTCTGCTTGGAAACAACTCAACTGATAATGCAATTAATGCTAAATATATGGAGGAAACTTGCATGTTCCACAACTCGAAGAAGTAAGTGGTGTGCAACACATCTTAGTTCAAATCCATACTGCTCTTATGCCAGAAAAGAGAAAAGAAAAAACAGAACCCTGAAAGTGCAAAGTGGTCATGATTAGACATAAGATGGAAATAAAATGGCATTTCTGCTCAAAAGAAATAGGTGCATGATTTATTTAGTCATTTAAGAATGATAAATGTGCCTTTCAGTTGATAGAACTTTAAAATGTTAGCCTGATAAAATTATAGTTATTTGATGAAGTCTTTTGAAATTTGAACCACAAAGTGGGATCATAGCAGAAGTTAGCTCATGAAAAATGACCAAGGATGCATCCGATCAAAATATGCATGCAAGAGAATTTGGCTTATCTTGGTCTCAGCGACATTTAATTATCTTTGAATGGAAGTATTGTCATGTTAATCCTATTTATTGATATAAATAGAATTGTATTTAAAGTGAATGTCTATATTTTAGAGAGATTTTAGGGTTAGCTACATGGTGGCTAAGTTACTTTTTCCCTATAAATAGAGGGGTTTTATTCCATTGTAATTCATCTCAAATCAATAAGAATTCTCTCTCTTTCTTTGCAATATTCTTCTTTATTGTTTCATTACACGTTATCAGCACGAGACTCTACCGTTTCAAGAAGCCCTTTGAGAAGACTAAGGTATAACTTTTCTCCTCTTTTAATTATGACTGATATTATGAAAAGAAAGTTTGATGCCCGTGAAATTTCGGCAAGAACTATATGACATGGGTGTTGGATGCTGAAATCCATTTAGATGCAATGGGTCTTGGAGACACCATTAAAGATAAAAATAAAGCATCTACCCAAGACTGCCAAGGCCTTGATTTTCTTGCGTCATCACCTTGATGAAGGGTTGAAAATAGAATATCTCTCAGTCAAAGATCCACGTGTTCTGTGGAATGGCTTAAAAGAAAGAGATGACAACTTAAAGTTGGTCACACTTCCACAATCACGATACAATTGGGCTCATATGAGGCTCCAAGACTTTAAGTCTGTTTCTGAATACAATTCTGCAATGTTCAGAATTACTTCTAAATTGAAACTCTGTGGAGATAGTATCACAGACTATGATATGCTTGAAAAAAAGTTCACAACATTTCATGCCTCCAATATGGTCCTGCAACAGCAGTACCGAGAGAAAAGTTTCAAGAAGTAATCTGAGTTGATTTCTCTTCTCCTTGTGGCTGAACGAAACGATGACTTGCTCATGAGAAATCACGATAATCGACCTATTGGGTCTACACCATTGCTTGAAGCGAATGAGGTGCATTCCCATTATGCTAAGCGTGGACAAGATCGTGGCCCTATTCGTGGCCGAGGCCGTGGTCGTGACCGTGGCGAAAGAAGAAATTTTCCTGGTGTTAATCACCCCGCAAAGAAAAATAACCACCAAAAGTGGAAAGGAAAAGATGAGAAGCCAAAGGCAAAGAGTTCATAAACTGAATGCTATCGTTGCGGTGGAAAAAGGCATTGGGCAAATATATGTCGTACATCAAAACATTTGGTTGAACTTTATCAAGCATCTCTAAAGAATAAAGGTCATAAAGTTAATTTTGTCTATGACAATGAATTTGACATCGCCCACTTGGATGTGGCAGATTTCTTTTAGCACCCTGATGGAAAAATAGACCACTTGATCGGTGATGGATTCGTGGTTAAAGATGATTGAGTAGTTTGATTAATGTTTTTTTTGCATATTCGTAGCAACTAGTGAATAAACATTATGTAATCACAGTTCTTTACATGAGTAGTAGTCATTAGTATCAATTAGTACTATTTATTTTATGGAATAGTGTTAGTTCATTTTAATTAAATATAGTTCTAGTATTCTATAACAGATTTTTCGATATTTACTTGTAGTACCAAACAAATGTTGGATCTTTTTTTTCTATCAATAATGACTCAGTTATTTAAAGTACCAACAGTAGTTCGATAATGTTGATGAACCTTGAAAAAATATGCCGCACTTATAATATTTGTTTTCAAGCAAATGGTTTTTCTAAAACATACTTGTTGGTAAAACTATTTGACACTGTTTTGTTTCAAATTGATTTCTTAAACGTCAATTTTTAAACCAAATGAATAGAAATGACTTGCGTCATATTTATAGCTTGCGTCATTGATACACATAACTAGCTATTTTTCTCTGCACATATATTTAAGTCTTAATATATATCACTTAATTATTTCAACCAACATATATGATATAACTTCTATACCTTTGAGTATTTATACTGGTTAGAGAGTTTGACTTAGTATTTGTAGTCATAATTTGAGTTTGCTCGAAATTGCATTAAAAAGTCATTATTGCATCATTGGTTTAACTTTATTTCTTTCCTTTTTCTCTGAAAATACTAATATTTATTCATATACATCTTTTGTATGTCAAACCATGGGAAGCAAATATGGATATCTCTCAAAGCAAACTTGGATCAAAGTTCAATTGTAAATATTAGCTTAATTGATTCATGTACGACACATACAATATTCAAAAGAGAAGAAATATTTCTCTCATTTAAGTATGTGTAAGGCAGATGTTACTATAATTTCTGGTAGTAGTAATCTAATTGAAGGTTCTGGAAGAGCTACTATAACTCTGCATAGGGGAACAATACTTATCATAGATAATAGATAATACAATGTTCTCCTCCAAGTCCAATAGGAACTTGTTGAGTTTTAAAGATATCCGCCGAAATGGATATCATATTGAGACAATAGATGAGAATAACCTTGAATATCTCATCGTTACCAAGAATGTATCTGGCTAGAAAAGGGTTACTAATAAGTTCCCATCTTTGTCTTGTGGCCTGTATTGGACAAGAATTAGTGCAATTGAGGCACATTCTATCGTAAACCAAAAGGTTAATGATTCCAATACTTTTGTGATTTGGCATGATCGATTGGGACATCCTGGATCAATTATAATGAGACAGATTATAGAAAACTCAAATGGGCATCCATTAAAGTAAAGATTCTTTTAAATAATGAATTTTCTTGCACTTCTTGTTATCAAGGCAAGTTAATTATTAGACCATTACAAACAAAGGTTGGGATTGAGTCCCCTACATTTTTGGAACGTATACAAGGGGATATTTGTGGACCTATTCACTCATCTAGTGTGTCGTTTAGATACTTTATGGTCTTAATAGATGCATCTTCTAGATGATCGCATGTGTGCCTATTGTCATCTCGCAACCTGGCGTTTGCAAAATTAATGGCACAAATCATCTGATTACGGTCACAATTTCCCGATAATCCAATTAAGTCTATTAGACTCGATAATGCTGCTAAGTTTTCATCCCAAGCATTTAATGATTATTGCTTATCAATTGGGATAAAAATGGAACATCTTGTAGCTCATGTTCACACTCAAAATGGCCTTGCAGAGTCTTTGATTAAACGTCTGCAGTTAATAGCAAGACCACTACTCATGAACGAGGTTGCCCACTTCTGTTTGGGGTCATGTCATTTTGCATGCAGCAATGCTGGTTCGTATCAGACCGACAAATTATCATAAATATTCTTCGTTGCAATTAGTTTTGGGTCATGAACCTAATACATCCCATTTAAGAATTTTTGGATGCGCAGTATATATACCTGCAGCACCGCCATACCGCACCAAAATGGGTCCCCAAAGAAGGTTAGGAATATATGTTGGGTTTGAATCGCCCTCCATTATTCGCTACCTCGAAACATTAACGGGGAATTTGTTCACTGCTCGATTTGCAGACTGTCGATTCGATGAGACACTTTTCCCAAAATTAGGGGGAGAAATTGGTGAAACCAAACATGAAATTTTGTAGAAAAATCCATCATTGTCTCATCTTGATCCAGGTGCCTCTATTTGTGAAAAAGAGGTGCAAAAGATTATTCATTTACAGAAAATAGCAAATCAAATGCCAGATGCATTTACGGATCTGAAAAGGATAACGAAATCACATATCCCTGCAGAGAATGTTCCAATCCTTATTAATGTCTCTGTTGGACAATCTTCTAGTGTCATAGCTAATGAGTCAAAAACACGCCTAAAGTCTGGCAGACCATTGGGTTCTAAGGATCGAAATCCTAGAAAAAGAAAAAGAAATGATCAGGATGACACTGCGAAAGAGTCTCATGAAGAAATCCACGATCTAACCAATCCTGAGATTCAAGAGAAAATCAATGAGCTTGACTCAAGAAAATAAGGAACTATCACTAAACCCAATTGATATTGAGACTTGAATCGATTGGATATAGTGGTGGATTATGTCTTTGCATATAATGTTGCATCTAGCATTATGCAAGATAGTGAGGATCTTGAACCTCAATCTGTTGGAGAATGTCGCCAAAGACGTGATTGGCCAAAATGGCAAGAAGCAATCCAATCCGAGTTGGATTCACTTGCGAAACGTGAAGTTTTTGGGCATGTAGTCCAAACACCTAATGATGTTAAGCCTGTTGGCTATAAATGGATCTTTGTACGTAAGAGGAATGAGAAAAATGAGGTGCAAAGATATAAGGCACGCCTTGTTGCACAAGGATTTTCACAAAGGCCTGGTGTCGATTATGAAAAGACATATTCACCTGTTATGAATGCAATAACGTTTCGTTATCTCATTAGCTTGGTTGTCCATGAAAAGCTTGACATGCATTTAACGGATGTGGTTACAGCCTACCTTTATGGCTCACTTGATAATGAGATATACATGAAAATTCCCGAAGGATTTAAAATGCCTGACGCACATAATTCAAAGTCCCGGGAAATGTTTTCAATAAAATTGCAAAGATCTTTGTATGGTCTAAAACAATTAGGAAGAATGTGGTATAACCGCCTTAGTAAGTATTTATTGAAGGAGGGTTATATAAATGATGTCATTTGTCCATGTGTTTTTTTAAAGAAAACAACATCGAAATTTGTTGTACATGCCGTATATGTCGATGGCATAAACCGTATTGGAACTCCGATAGAACTCCAAAAGGCAATTGATTATTTAACGAAGGAATTCGATATGAAAGATATCGGAAAGACAAAATTATGTCTCGGTTTGCAAATTGAACATTTGGCAAACGGGATTTTTGTTCATCAATCTGCCTACACAGAAAAGGTATTAAAACGGTTTTACATGGATGAAGCACATCCATTAAGCACTCTGATGGTTGTTCGATCACTTGATGTGAATAAGGATCTGTTCCGACCTCAAGAAAAGAATGAAGAGCTACTTGGTCCTCAAGTACCATATCTTAGTGCAATTGGTGCACTAATGTATCTTGCTAACACTACAAGTCATGACATAACTTTTTCAGTTAATGTCTTAGCAAGATATAGCTTTGCTCCTACAAGGAGACATTGGAATAGAATCAAACACATATTGCGATATCTAAAAGTGACTACCGATATGGGCTTATTTTATGGCAATGATTGCAGTCCCAATCTTGTTGGTTATGCCGACGCTGAGTATTTATCCGACCCACACAAGGCTCGATCTCAAACAGGCTTATGCGTTTACATGTGGAGGCACTGTCATATCTTGGCGGTCGACTAAGCAATCAATCGTGGCTACTTCATCTAATCATGCTGAGATAATTGCTATTAATGAAGCAAGTCGAGAATGTGTATAGTTGAGGTCTATAATACATCTTATTCAAGACAAATGTAGTTTGAAGTGTGACAAACTACCCACGATTTTGTATGAAGACAGCGCAGCATACATAGCCCAATTGAATGGAGGATTCATAAAAGAAGATAGGACAAAGCACATTTCACCAAAGTTATTTTTCACACATGATCTTCAAAAGAATGGTGATATCAATGTGCAACAGATTCGTTCAAGTGATAATATGGCTGATTTGTTCACCAAATCTCTACCGACGTCAACCTTCAAGAAGCTAGTGTATAAGATTGGGATGCGAAGGCTTAAAAATGTGAATTGATGCTCTCATCAGGGGAGTTGATACGCGTTGTACTCTTTTTCCCTTACAAGGTTTTGTCCCACTGGGTTTACCTTGCAAGGTTTTTAACGAGTCAATCAAAAAACGTATTATTAAACATGTGTACTCTTTTTCCTTCACTAGAATTTTTTTCCACTGGGTTTATTTTTAGTTAAGGTTTTAACGAGGCACATTATCTGTTGAATAGACATTCAAGGGGGAATGTTATAAATAGAATTGTATTTAAGGTGAATGTCTATATTTTAGAGAGATTTTAGGGTTTGTTACTTGGTGGCTAAGTCACTTTTTCCCTATAAATAGAGGGGATCTATTCCATTGTAATTCATCTCAAATCAATAAGAATTCTCTCTCTTTCTTTGCAATATTCTTCTTTATTGTTTCATTACATTTATGACTATGTTGTGCATTAATGAAACAATCACCTTATTCAATAATAACACAGCTAGATAGTGTCAGGAGTATTTAGAAAGCGAGTGAGACGCTCAGACACATCTATCAATAGGTTGTACCAATCATATATAGATGAAGATACAGAGACTATGGTTACCACATTTACTCATTTATACATAAAAGTACAGAGATTGTTATGGGTACACATTTACTGCATGTAAGTGCCAAACATAGGAAACATCATACCTGTGTCCGCTTATTGTTAGTAAATGATTGACGGGAATTTCCATAGGCAGCTAGGGACCAACCAACCTCCCACCCATGTTCAATTGAACTAGACGAACCTTCAACTAAGGACTGGACAGCAGCAGATGACACAGGGATTTCAACCTTCAGCAAGAACACCAGATAGACGGTGTCAAGTGCAACTTTTACGTTTCATCAGTAACAAAATAGCGACAAAGAAGAACACCAGCCATAAAAGTGATAAGTTAACCCATGCTAAAAACTAGGATAAAGGGGTTCAAAACTAGGTACTCCTTCTCCATTTTATACGGCACATTTTCTTTTTTAGTATGTTCCAAAAAGAATAGAACCCTTCTCTATTTGGAATATCTTAAAACTTTAAACTTCCCATTATACCTTAATGACATGATCTTATAGCCATAGAAGTGTTATGAAATGTTTAAAACCACAACTTCTAAAGGTACTTTGGTATGTGTCAAAAAACTTTTGTTCACAAAACACCAGATGACATCAAACTAGAATTTATATGCATGCATCAAAATGAGAGCACTTAACAATTCAATATTGCAAATAAAAAACATATATATGATAAAGTTACAGGTTTTATGATAATCAGCATTCAGATTACAAAATCCTTTTCGGTCTCCTACTAAAAGCCTACCACTCTTAGGAGTTCTGCAGGTAGCCAGTTCAAACCCTCATTGTTAGTCACTTTGATATCATTCTGCAATGTATTTCCTCCCTGTGAACCACGAGTAGGACATCCAATGTCAATTTAATATATCAATGAACCTAAAAAAACGTATTTTCTTCAGTAGGTTCAAATAAATACCTCCCGCAGTATATCAATTTGAGTACCAGGAATCAGCTCCGGCTTATCCTGCCAGATGGTACATCGTAAAAGAATTATGAAAAAGCATAACGACAAAGAAATACTCATGTTGTTCCATTTTATACTACATCCATTCAAAAAACTACCTTTCTATACATAGAATTTTTTTAATCTTGTAATTCTCGTTTTGCACTTAATGGCATGCTCTTATAGGAATTGACATGGCATGTTAAAGACAACTACATAACTTCTTACACATGTAATTAAATATGTGTCAAAAGTGGTTCTTTCTTTATTAAACTCCTCCTCCGATCAAACACCATCATATACAATGAAACCAAACGGAGGGAGTAATTATCAACTGAAAAAAGACTAAAGATCCAACCTTTGATATGTCCCCTCTATCCTGTTGTACAACAAATGGCTCAATAACAGAACCAACAGTTAAAACCAAGAAGTGACCTCCAAAAGAGTGCAACTTGCTTTCACCTTGAATCTGCTTAGACACTGAAGCATTAACAAAGGAACTGGGCAAAAGCATCCCAGATGCTGATAGTGTCGTCTTCCCAGAACTACACCACAAAATTACAACCCAAATTTAAAATTTTCAGTTCAAAATACATAAAATAAACAACTGTAATATACAAAAATAGAGAGAGAGAGCTATGTAAAATCACTTACTTGTACAGGTGGAAAGCATGTTTTCGCATTTTTAGACCCTTCGGGTCCTTCAAGAAGAAGAATTATTGTTATTTCAAAAACCAATTAGTAAAATAAGCAAAGTGATTTAAAATTATAGTATCTTGACTTAAGAAAAGGGACTCACCGGGCCTTGAATTCTGACCATGACGGCATAATTGCGGGCAACATCGACCACTTCAGGAAGACCCATGACAAGAATAATTTAGGGGTCTGCTGCCGCTGGGAGCTTAATTATGGCAATAATTTGGTGAATCCAAACATGGTTGCCGGGAAGCTATGGGCTGACCACGGCAGTTGGATTGCGGTTCACCACTTTCGAGGCAAGCGGAACTATCTGCTTTTTTACCAAGTATTAAATATTTATTTATTAGTCCTGTTTCCGGTTCTTTTTCCTTTTCTTTTTGTTTTTGTATTTTTCGGGTTGACTAGAGTGGGAATCGCAGGGAAAATATTTTCCCCCTTTTTTCTGTGTTCTTTTTCCTTCTTTTTGACGCATGAACTTGAATACAGCGCAAATTCACTTTGGACATAAGAAACGTAAAAATAAGAAAAAAAAGGTTGTGTTTGGTAAGAATGAAATTATTTTCTGAAAAATATCTTTCAATTTTTAATATTTACTATAATAACAATAACAACGACGATCCAGTAAAATCTAATAGTGGGGTATGAGAAGGGTAATGTGTACACAGACCTTACTCCTACCAGAGGGGATAGAGAGGTTGTTTCCGAAAGACCCTGATCAAAAAAACGAAAAGAGGCAATATACCAGTACCATCAATAGAAACCATGAAACAAATAACAGTATCACCAGAACCAGAAAATAGATGAATAACAAAACAATAACCAGTAGATAAAGCCCGACACTAAGAGGATTAATTTTTAATATTTGATTGTCTTAAATGTTTTAAAAATTATTTACTTAAAATAAAATATTTTTTCTGTAAATAATGAAAAAAACAACTTCTCTAGCAGAGGGATGGAAGCCATGGGAAATATTTTCCAAAAATCTTCCATGATATTTCCAACGCATGATTACATATTTTTAAATTTTGTGTAGAAAAATTTTCACAAAAAAATAAAACATACAAAACAAGCATTTTTTTTTTTTGCTAATAAATATAGTTTTAGATTAAAATAAAACTTTAATTTTAATGAATACATTAAACATGCAATTTCTTACCCTGGTTAATTGAAAGATGGAAGAGCTTTTCATTTTTTTAAGGAGCAAAGTTAAAATCTTTTGACTAAAGGGAAATGTGACAATGTAAGTCACACAAGAGGTTCTGGCAGCATTATATTCATAAGCTTATTATATCAAGTTAGTTAGTAACTTTAGTCATTTTCATTTATATATCTGATCAAGTGCAGTCCTTTTTTTATTTATTTGGTAGTATAATTAACTCAAAACATACAAAAATTGCAAGCAAGTTATGCTCAATTTTTTGCTTCTAAGCCGAGTTTGAAAAATTCAAATATGTAATTTGTGTACGGGTAAAACCGAGGTCGGTGTTCGATCGAGCTTGAGAAACGGAGGGCCAAGGTCGGTACATCTGTAATAGGGTAAAAATCGAAGTCCGAGGTTCGATCTGACATCCAACATGGTAAGCTGAGGGCGGAATATAATATTCAAAATCGGGCCCAAAGCATCATCAAAACTAGCCATCGAGATTATCAGATTTGCCCTCGAGTCTGCCGAAAGCATAACCGGCCATGTTTCTAATGGTCTCGGAGAAAGCTCTGCCAACTCATTCGACAAGGGTCCGTGATTCTTGTCATTAACCAGTCATTATGACAGAAATTACGGAATTAGTCAAAAAGGGAACCAACGGTCTTCAAAATCAAGGGCTTATATTTTTTATAGTACAATTAAATAATACCCTAAAGAGTAGGTCTCCCTCAATATATAAAGGGGATTTGACAATCCATGAAGGACATTGTAACATATACTGATAAGTAATACATTCTCTAAGTTGTTACTCTTTGATATTTTGGTGTCAAATAAAGTGCATTCAATTCAAGGGTGGCCTGCTTGCCTAAGTCGAAATAATCCAACTCACGAGGTTTACGGTTAATCTATCGTTATTTATTTCAATCTTAATCTAATTTATCACTTTGTATCAGGTTAATCCACATGTCCTTATAACCACTAACAAATTCAATTGTTATCCGATTTTGAGGGTAAACAGTTTGGTGCCCACCATGGAGCTAAGGATAATATTAGTTATTTGATACAAATCTTCATAACACACACTACTTTACGCTTGCTCTTTGAAGTATCTTTGATTTTATGCTAAAAATGTCAAACTCTCAATTAGCACCCTTACATATCGACAACGAGTCTGGTCATCAGGGTGAGAATAACAACATAGCGCCCGGTAACGTAGGGCCACCCGCTGGTCCTGTAGGAATTTCGATCGCATATCCGATTGATGTTAATTCACATGTGGCGATCGACGCCAACTTGCCTGTCGACCCCGAAAATAGCATCCATGGTGGGTCCCGATCGGCCGCTCAAAACACACAAAACAACAATGAAGAAGACGGGATCAGCCTACGGATGACCTTCGAAATGTTGCAAGCTCAACAAGTGGCGATATCTTAGTTGCAGAGCCAAAGTCAGACGTCAAGCAGGGTTGAACCTGATCTGCCCCGTAAAGTCACCCGCAGAAATGAACCGGTCATAGTAAGGTCAAATGAGCAAGAATCGGGTACTAACCCCGAGATTATAAAGATGCTCGAGGAACTGACAAAGCGAATAGAATTAGGGGAAAAGAAAATCGAAGCGAACAATAAAAAAGTGAAAACCTACAACTCCAAGGTAGATCAAATCCCAGGAGCACCTCCGATATTGAAAGGATTGGATTCCAGGAAGTTCGTGCAAAAACCTTTTCCTCCGAGCGCGGCTCCAAAGACAATCCCCAAGAAATTCCGTATACCCGAAATACCTAAGTATAACGGAACAACCGATCCAAACGAACATGTAACTTCTTACACGTGCACCATAAAAGGGAACGACTTAGAAGACGACGAGATCGAGTCTGTTCTACTAAAAAAAATTGGGGAGACCCTGTCAAAAAGAGCTATGACATAGTATCACAACTTACCCCCTAATTTTATTGATTCATTTACTATGCTTTCAGACTCCTTCGTGAAAGCACATGTTGGTGCCATCAAGGTCGAAACCAGAAAATCAGACCTTTTCAACGTTAAACAGAAAGATAACGAGATGCTCAGAGAATTCATGTCCCGTTTCCAAATAGAACGAATGGATCTGCCGTCAGTCGCCGATGATTGGGCTGTTCAAGCTTTCACTCAGGGACTCAATATTCGAAGCTCGATGGCTTCACACCAACTGAAGCAGAATCTGATAGAATACTCTGCCGTTACCTGGGCAGATGTACATAACCAGTATCAATCAAAAATCAGAGTTGAAGATGATCAACTCGGGGCCCACTCGGGGTTTGTTTATCCCGTCAGAACCCTCATAGAGACAAGAGAGACATCGATCGTGAACCAAGATCAAACAGGGATCTATATCTACCATATAATGGAGATCGGAGGAACAGTGGGTCCGGGCGGAACCCTGTAAGAAACGAAAGGAGAAATGATCAAGGTCGAAGCAACCGGGGGCTCATAACCAAAAATAACTTTGACAGGTCCATCGGGCCTAAAGAAGCACCGAGGCTATCAGAATACAACTTCAATGTCGATGTTGTCGCCATCATATCAGCTATCGGGCACATCAATTATACCAAATGGCCTCGACCTCTATAATCCGATCCAGCTCAAAAGGGACCCTAACCAGATGTGTAAATATTATGGCACTCACGGTCATAGAACGGAAGATTGTCAACCATTGAGAGAAGAAGTAGCCCGTTTATTCAACAATGGGCACCTTCGAGAATTCTTGAGCGACAGAGCCAAGAACCACTTTAGAAACATGGATTCTAACAAACAGACAGGACAAGAAGATACCGAACCTCAACACGTCATAAATATGATCATCGGTGAAGTCGATATCCCACAAGGGTCGATGTTGAAACGCACCAAAGTATCCACTACTAGGGAGAAACGAACTCGAGACTACGTATAAGAAGGAATTTTATCTTTCAGCGACGAGGATACAGAAGGAATCATACAGCCTCACAATGATGCACTGGTAACATATGTACTCGTAAATAAAACTAGAATTAAACGTGTGTTGATTCATCCACGTAGCTCAGTCAACATCATTCGGTCGAGGGTCGTGGAACAGCTCGGTCTACGAGACAAAGTCGTGCATGCAGTCCGAATTCTAAACGGGTTCAATATGGCATGTGAAACCACTAAGGGGGAGATAACATTACCGGTCAATATCACCAGAACCATACGAGAGGCCAAGTTTTATGTGATCGAAGGAGACATGAGGTATAACGCCCTCCTCGGAAGCTCGTGTATCCACAACATGAGGGCAGTGCCCTAAACTCTTCACTAAGTGTTAAAATTCCCAACTCCGAAAGGGATTAAGACATTATATGGGGAACAACCGACCGCAAAAGAGATTTTTGCAGTCGAAAAAGTGATTCCAATATCAATACTCACAACATCGAAAGAACCAAATTCGGACGCAAACCAAGAGGCCAAATAGCAATCACCGACACCGGCCACAACCCAATCGGATGAGCATGGGACTTATGAAGACGATGATTACGGGGTCTTCCGATCTTTTATAATCCCTAATAACTCCGACGCAACCAAATCAACAGTCGAAGAGCTGGAACATGTTATATTGGTCGAGCATCTGCCCGATCAGAAGGTATACCCGGGCACGAGGTTAACTCCCGAGCTCAGGAAAAAAGTTATTCAATTTCTTGTAACTAATATAGATTGTTTCGCTTGGTACCATCTTGATATGACATGGATCTCACCAGAGATAAGCACTCACAAACTAAGCCTGGACCCGAAAATCAATTCGGTCAGGCAGAAGAGGAGGCCCCAGTCCGAGGTCAAACATGTTTTCATCAAGGACGAGTTATCTAAACTCCTTAAAATAGGGTCCATTCAGGAGGTTAAATACCCGGATTAGTTAGCAAACGTAGTGGTAGTCCCTAAAAAGGGAATAAACTAAGAATGTGTGTAGATTACAAAATTTTGAATAAAGCATGCCCCAAAAACTCTTTTCCTTTACCCAACATCGATCGTATGATCGATACCACGGCCGGCCACGAGATCCTCAGTTTTCTCGACGCCTATTCTAGGTACAACCAAATACGGATGGACCCATGTGATCGGGAGAAAACCTCCTTCATCACTAAATACGGCACATACTGTTATAATGTAATGCCGTTTGTATTAAAAAATGTCGGTGCCGCATA